AATTGGTTCAATGATTGAGACAACAAATTACAAGACAAACCGGAATGATATCGTATTCTGCGATACGAAACAACTTCTCCGTCACATAGTCTTTGCAGAGCTGTTCCCAACAAATCCACAATTAATTGCAATTAATGTTAAACTTGTTATATAATTGTAAAACTCACAGAATTTTCAAATGAGAGATAAAACTTGTATTTTTTGGTAATCATCTTAAGACACGAGTCATCTCTTGGACATTCGTAGTGACCACACCTTCCATAGATATCGACATCGATGTATTTAGCCAGTTCCCTTACATATTCCTCTCTGTTGCCATCCGAGTGACAGTTGGACACAATCCACGCTACACTCCGAGTCTTACCATCAAACAGATCCTCATTTTGCCACTTATTATCACAAGGGATGACTGACCCGTACGGCACATATATGTCTGAATCCGTGCGATAACTCATAACCCAATCTATTTGGTCAGCAATGGATCTGCCCTTGAATTCCAGTGTATTGACCGGTGGTTCCCAGTTATAAATGATCCACTTCTGGCCGGGGATGTGCTTCTGTGGCAAATCCCAGGGACTGGTGTCTCGCCAGTGGAAGAACACGGCGTCCACTGAATCCAGTTGTGATTTGTCTTCAGTGAGCAGACAATTACTAAAATTACAGTTCAATGTCTTGAGGTCCAGATGAGACCAATCGTCAGCACCGAAGTATTTGGTCCACAATAGGACCCGGAATTGTCTGAAGGCTTTGTCGGAAGAGTTGACTCCACGCTCAGCACCGATAGCACCGCCGGATCTGTTCAGCTCTTGAGGAATGTCTACTCGTGGGTGTCTGTCGACCGCTGCTTCAGGTGTTGGCAGATAATTGAGATAATTTGGTGAATATATTAACAAACGATTCATTTTATATAATAAACACATTATGATTACAATAAGTATTAAAATATATTTAATTTTCTGCATTTCGGTCACAACTCTTGCATCCAATTGATCGCTAATTACGGCACTAATGAGACGGATATCACTTGACTTGAAGACGTCAATGCATTTGTCTTGTGGTGTATAACAGATCCCTATATCGATAATACTAATGAATAATCAAGTTTCACATGATTTACAAATACATTGATTTGATTTGAGATTCATTTGTGAAACACGAGTGAAATGTTAGATCCATTTGGCACTCAATCGCTGAACACTGCATACAATGTGGTATTCATTGCATTCATACATTTGAATGCAATTTCCATATTTAATCACTACATTAGAAATGCATTACATTTTTACAAACGATTAGACCATTGAATTAAAAGTTCACATTTGTATTGATTATTATGGTAACAGTGTTTACATTCAGTGTTGACTTCTTTACTGAATTCAGTGACATCTCTGTCATGTGTTTCGTATTAAAGCACAAGAATTTGGATATAAATTGAAATTCTGTTGTTTTCAACACATTTGATACCACTTACTTACACAAGTACCAAGTTACCAAGTACAGTATACTTTCACTATCATAATGATCTCTAATTATTGTGATACAGTGCTATCACCAAAATATTACTAGTTTATTTATTATTTATTACTTTTATTTATTATTAATAATAAGTTATTGAAACAATAAATAAATTTCTTTTAAGTTTCGAAATTGTAATTCACTTAATTAGTTAAAATAAAGTTTTAATTCATTAAATAAAACTAATTTAGTTTTGGTGACTCAAGACTGGCTTTTATTAATATCCTAAAAGTTATCTAGAAATTCATTAAATTGTATTCCTATACTCTAATGAAAAGTTGTATCGGAAAACATTTACTCCATTCATTTATGTCCACATATTTGGGTCACTTTTATTGCCGTTCAAGTGCTGTGCACTGCATTCCCAATGATGAGAACTTTCACAATTAAGTCATTAACGCAAATATATCAATACAAATGTTTGTCAAACTCACAGATTCAGTCATTTTAATCATCAAATTGATATTATTTAAATTAAAGAATTCTAGCATTTAGTTAAATAATTATAAGTCAAAAGCAGAAACAATATTGATTGGTGATTAAAAATAAAATCTTGATTAAAAATCTATAAACAAGATTATTTTTATTTTACAAAAATATACCTAATTGCAGTATTACGGAAATTATTATTTAATACGTTTGCAATCTCCATGGTGTGCTTAATATTACTGCACAATAATAACTGGGGCTTAACATTTAAATTACACATGAAATGTAGACCTAAATATATTTATTTTTATTTATTATAACAAAATCAACTCCGAAAGGATTAATGCATTTTATGTGCATTTGAAGGATTAGTTGTATCATTGCATGAATTATACGAATAAATCAATATAAGTAATGAGAGTTTTGGTTTAAATTCTGGGATTAAATGGCTATTTCTACGACAATATGAATCAATTTCTCGATTAAGATCTTTAATTATTTTCTGTTCAAACATATTAATACTTCCATTCGTTATGATTAACGCCAAAATCAAATGAATTTCTCGATATTACTATATTAGCCTCTATTTAGCACTTTTCCATCACTTGATTGAGAGAACAAACAAATTCATATAAATTATTAAACACTTGTTTGACTGCATATTAAGGATCGATAACTAACTACTAGTAACTCGTAAGTGGTTAAACGTTTGACAAATTATAACATTTATTATTTATTCCGTTCCGTAATTTGATTGAAGTCTTAAACTCTTATTGTGTTATAAATGATAGCACTTATTGAGAATTGAGTGCATTTTTGATGAGTTGTTGACTTGCGTTGCAAACACTTTCTCATCAATTATTCATTCATTTATGTAATGAACTATAAAAAATGAATTTTCAGATATAATTTCATAGGTTTTAGTCATGCATTGTTTTCCTAAGTCTATAATTTTAAGGCTAATTTTTATGATTTTAAAAATTATTTAAATTATCAAACAAATTATTATGCAAATATTGCTCGATTTCATATTAATTTTTGTTTAATATAAATATTAAATTCTTAATATAGAAATAAAATTTACAAAAGAATTATTAATAATTCATTTTTATTTAAATTTATGCTTAGTTTTGCTTAAAATAAACACAGAGATTTATTTTTATAATAATAAATAAATTTCAGAACAAATGATTTGTTTAATTAATAATATTATTTATGTTAACATTTTGTGATGAATTGGAAAAAAATATCATTTCATTACAATATTAGTTTAGAGTAAACAGAGAAATCAAATAAAATTATTCATTAGATTTAAATGGATGTCAATTAAAATTAGAAATGAGACTAAAATTATAATCTATGCGACGCTCATAGTCGTAGTCCTCGAGTCCGATGGGATTATCGTTAGATGAGTGGAAAGGTCTGAATTGTAGGTCAAACTGTCATCCGGGGGACAGACCTTTTTCTTATGCAAACTCTGAATGTAGTGCTAAATGAAGCGAAACAAAGCATTAGACAAATTAAAAAAGGAAAACTATTAACAAAATTAATTTTTAATTGAGTTAAGAAAAAGTGGACGACTGAGACATACCTGGGATATGACATCTCCGTGAGCGGTGCGCACCTGATATAAGTACCTATACTTTCGTTGTCTTTGTTCCAGTTTCTGTTCCTCACGTCTCAACCGATTAGCGGCTGTCTGTCCGGCGGTGACTCCGGTAGTCGAGGTGACGACACCGTAATTATAATCGTTCTCGTAATTCACTCCTTTGGATGTGACACACCACTGAACCAACAGCCCTATCACTACACTCAACGGCCACACACCCAACAGCACCCATGAGATCAGACATAGATTGGTGTTTCTGGTCATTCCGATCGAGTCGTACAACGACTGGCCATCTCTTAATTTGTCGCGAAACCAATAAACGAGTTTAAAATTCTCGATAAAATAGTCCAAACAAATGAGTGTCAAAGAGCTTCCATAGAGAACTGTAGCCATTATTGTGCAGCCTTTTGATGGATGACACGAATGCATGAATGGAAACAAGATTAAGAAAATTAACATTTATTTTAATGGAGCCTAGGCTTCAATAGTGTCAAAGAGCTTCCATAGAGAACTGTAGCCATTATTGTGCAGCCTTTTGATGGATGACACGAATGCATGAATGGAAACAAGATTAAGAAAATTAACATTTATTTTAATGGAGCCTAGGCTTCAAAATAAAAAGCATCAAAGAAACCCCAAAAAGCATTTGTTATTTATGTTGTGATAAACTAAATAAAGAGTTCTTTATAATAGAGTTAGAGTTAGAGTTTGTTTCTCACAAAAAAAACTTTCATTACTTTTTAAGGCACTGAATATTTAAGTGCTTTCCCTTCCAGGAGTCGTATGTATGAAAAGTTTGCCTAATTTTTCTTCTTTTCAAACAAATTTCTCTCATCTCTTCTCGAGAATTGATTGGTATTGAAAGGAAACGAAAATATAAAACTGATTTCAATGTTGAATAGAGTTTATACAGAAAAAAGAGTGAATGAATATAAAATCAATAAACTTTACATCAATTGGAAATGTGAACGAAATAATAAACAGATGTTTTTGTTGGGATTTTCGCCACTATTTTGAAAAACTCGAAGAAAACATAAAAATTTTAGTGTCAAAGAGCTTCCATAGAGAACTGTAGCCATTATTGTGCAGCCTTTTGATGGATGACACGAATGCATGAATGGAAACAAGATTAAGAAAATTAACATTTATTTTAATGGAGCCTAGGCTTCAATATAAAAAGCATCAAAGAAACCCCAAAAAGCATTTGTTATTTATGTTGTGATAAACTAAATAAAGAATCCTTTATAATAGAGTTAGAGTTTGTTTCTCACAAAAAAAACTTTCATTACTTTTTTAAGGCACTGAATATTTAAGTGCTTTCCCTTCCAGTCGTATGTATGAAAAGTTTGCCTAATTTTTCTTCTTTTCAAACAAATTTCTCTCATCTCTTCTCGAGAATTGATTGGTATTGAAAGGAAACGAAAATATAAAACTCATTTCAATGTTGAATAGAGTTTATACAGAAATAAAGAGTGAATGAATATAAAATCAATAAACTTTACATCAATTGGAAATGTGAACGAAATAATAAACAGATGTTTTTGTTGGGATTTTCGCCACTATTTTGAAAAACTCGAAGAAAACATAAAAATTTGTGATCAAATCCGTACAGAAATCCCTCAAAGAATTTTATCGTTTAGAAAAGAAATAGCGAAATCATTGGGTAATCAAAATCCTATCAAATATTTTAAAGACATTTCTGGGCTTTTAATGCGAGAATTAATTTCATATTTCATTTGACACGTAAAGCATTAAAAGTTTTTTGATCGCAATCTATTGAACAGACTTTCCTATAGCTTTCAAATCGAGTTAATTTCACTTTAATTTCATATCAAAAGTGAATCAATAGTCACTAAGTGTTAAGCTAAGGGTATGCAGGGGATGTATGTCTGTCATATGGATGTATGTAAGCTAAGGGTATGTATGTCTGGTGAGTGGCCATACCTTTCTGGAAGTATAGGGTAGAACAGGCGCCGGTCAGACCCAACGACATGAATATAGCGAACAAAATCCAGACAGAGTTCGGCGGCTCTATTGAGTGGACGTACGGCGAGAGGATATATATGACGACAAGTGTGGCGCACGTGAAGATGAGTCCCAAGTGAAAGCCCAGCATAAATAGGCCGACGTATACGACTAGCACTGTTATGAGACCAAACAGTAGGCCGGCCACGAGTGACACACTTATGTTGCCATACATTGGCAGCAGATTCTCTGCCGTACAGATCATGTATATAATGGTTGTGCCGAATGCAAAGCCCGTCAGAAACATGATCGCTTTGAAGCACCGGTAGCCGTATATGAGGTAAATGATACCGAACACGATTAGTGTCGAGCATATGACTGAAGGAATGAGTTCATAGTCATCGGGGGTCGAGTAGCACATGTCGACCGGCGTTATTGTCTCAATGGTGGCGTCCATTGACGTGATATTTGGCACCGACTCTGCGGTGGTGGTGGTGCTCGACAGTGATATGTATGACATAGTGGTGGTTGTGGTGATGTTGGCAGTGCTCGAGTCGGTGCTCATGGATGTGTTGGTGACAAATGATGTGATATTTGTTCGTATAGTGTATGAAGTGTTTACTTCACTTATCGTCCCGTTTGTCATCTTATTATTGACCAGATGTTCATCAGTGGCATCAGTGGTGGTGACTCGAGACAGTTCACTGATAACACTACATTGGATTCATTGGATTCATTCACACTTTTGATCATTTATTAACACATTTCTAGCGATTCCTGGTTCCCATTCACCACTCAATTCGCAAACTTTTGTCTAAACTTTATAATCAATTGAATAAAAGGAAAGTTTTTATTAGCATTTTGAATGACATTTATTTAATGCAAAATAAATTCAATAATAATTTATAACTATGCGCAAGCTATTTTTATTGCCAAAGAACAACAAAATCAGTAAAATTGAATAAATTAAAAATATTTGAATGTCTCGGATATAAATCAAAATCAATTCAAATTACAAAATACCAGAGAATAACAGAAAGCCCTTTGAATACTACACCAAAACTCAATTATAATTTCAAACATTTGATAATAGTTTGAATGAAAGTAGTCTACAATAGTGTATGGAATAGACAGTTATATGTAATAATTGAGAGTAACTAATACATTGTTTCTTATGATTTATTGCTCGCAGGAAATATTAAATACAATTAAAATAGTTTTTCATAAGCTTTTAGAATAGGCAAAAATGGGGAGAAAATAATGAATAAATTAACGGTTATATTAAACCCTATCCATTAAGAGATATTAGACATAACAGTGAGGTTTGCAATATTTTCTCTTTGTTTTGCGTACTTTTCAAACTCAACAAAAAGAAGATAACTATATTGGATACGAAACAATATGAAAATCAATTTCTAGACCATTACTATAATATGGAAATCATATGCAATGCATTAAGTGTTGAAATAATGAATCAAAAGAGTGTCTCATTGTATGTGTCTCTCAGTGTCTCTCACTTTCTGTTCACTCGTATCGATCCGATGACCGAATTTTCTCTCATAGGAGGAAAAGTTCAACCACTCTATGGGTATATGTCTCACTCACTCACACCATACGAGAGAGAGAGAGAGAGAGAGAGAGAAAGAAAGAGAGAGAGAGAGAGAGCAAACGGAATACATTAAATGACAGCATTTTATTTATTATGACTAATACTTAATAATAAAAGTGATATTCCTGTGATATCCGCGAAATATTGCAAAAGACTGTCATTATTTGCATAAATGATTACTCCATATACTTAATACCCAAAGAAATCACAACTTTTGCTTCCATTGTCTTTCGAGCAGTAAATGAAAGGCAACGGAAGACAATCAGACAGCAAATTGAATGCGAATTTGGTTTCTCACTGTTAAGGTACCGGTGCTTATAATAGGGTCGGAGAAATAGATTAAAATGCTTTACATGTTATGCGTTGGAAAGAGAGAGAGAGAGAGAGAGAGAGAGAGACAGAGAGACAGAGAGAGAGAGAGACAGAGAGGAGAGAATCCGTGAGAATCTCTAAACTGTTATGTAAGAGATATCGTGAAAATTGTCTGTCATTTAGCGTTTAATTTGGGAAACATTTGAAACGCAAAGAGAAATTGAGTCCAAAAAAAGGAAACACAAACCAAAAAATATGTTAATTTCACTTTGAATTTAATCATCACTCGTATGTTGTAAACTGAATGTGTGTTTAATGTTATGACAGTAACTGTTATTAATGTGGAACACATTGTGTGTATCTCTTAATGTAGAAAATTATATACAATTTCTTTAAAAATACATTATATTTCAAAAGAGATACATTCAGTCCTTATTTTTAAATACATTATATTCAATATAATGTGTGTTTAGCCGACGGCCACAACATATTTATACAATTGATTATAATTGCAAATAAAAATATTTTGATTACAATTACGGGACCCAAACCACAATGGCTTTTCGATTTGTTATTAAAGTTTCGTAAAGTGTTTTATTTTTGTTGAGCTTCAAAATTAATATTTTATGCACAGCTTCATACGACTACAAACAATAAGTTTTAAATTCAATTAAATTATATTATATTTGATGTAATCTAAGAGAAAAAAATCAGATAATGTCAGAGACAATGATAAACTGCACATAATATGATTGTTTGGGACTATAATGTAATTTATAATAATGTCAATCAATAATAATATCCTTACGTTTCTGTACAATGAGTTCCCAAAGTCAAGAATGAGTTACAAAAATAAAACTAATTTTTCAAAATTGCGATCAAAAACTTATACCAGTATATATACTGTATATCCATATATATATACAGACAAATTAATCGGTTATGCGATTAATTCTGACATAAATTTGAATGCCTGTTAAGAAATTTTTCATGTAATCATGAATTTGTAGTTTTATTTATAATAAATATAATATATTACATATTTTTTGTATAATAACGTTTCGTCAGTGATGTAAAGGCATAGGGGCTGACATGTACTGACACACTAACACTCGACATTCAATTTGTACCCCAAATGTGATGGACATTAAAATATAAAGTGTTATTTAGACCATAATTTTCTTGTTATTTAAGAAACAACTTATTTTTCGGTGTAAAACATAGCATTTTTAAATACAAATAATTTGCCACTTCAGTTCACTGAAATTGAGTATAACTTAAACTCAATATTAAATGATTTTATGGGAAAAACTGGAGATTGCTATTCATTGACACATAAAATTATATTCAATTTTTTATCTCTATTTTTGGATAAATTTAAGTTCAATAAAAATATTTTAATAATTCATGGGATAGAAAACCATAAAATGCAAAATATTACTATTATCTAATAATTTGCAAACAAATCAAAGGATATTTGAATTAATTTGATATCTTTACGAGAATATAAATCGTAATATAAATTAATATTTTATTCAAATGCGAGACAAAAATATTAATTAAGAAATAAATACAACTTTGTTTGCATCTAATTTACTAATTACTACATAGCACAAAGTTATTTATAGCTATTATTAGTATTGTACTAATAATAGGATGAGAAAATTTAATCCATCAAAAATTAGATGGGTTTGAAAATAAGTTAAGCAATAAAAATGCAGTCACTAATTAAAATTAAAATTAAAATCTTTAAAAATAAAATTGTGAGTTATTTGAAAAGTATATTAGTTAAAAGTATTTGTAAATATTGCAATATAAATGCATATTTATTTGGTTTTGAATGACTAGTAATTGAAAATAATGCTTAACTGACTAAAAAAATAAATTCAGTAGTAAGTTTCAGTATATTGGATTTAATGTTAAAAATATTTTTTACATTAAAATTGAAATTAAATTTGAATTTTAGATAAGTATCGAGTGTTGGTCTGCAATACATAAAACATAAACTACCCCTCGTTTGGATTAAATTTCAATTTAATCACCAAAAAATATCATAAGTAATTTGATAACAAATTTGGGCAAAGAATTACGAATAAATTTGATTAAAAATACAAAAATGACTATTTTATGAATTTTATACAAACATTATTGTAGAATATTTGTCTATCAAAAGTATATTTCACTTGAAATATCAAATTATACCAAATTAATGCTGAAATATTACATTTCTGAGTTAGACTACTAATAAAATACAGCAGAGATTCTCTATAGAGATAGGGAACAAGAAATTAATTTCATAGATATGTTATTCAACTCTACCGGTAATCAAATTTACTGAACACTACTGAACATACAGTAGAAATGGAAGTTTGCTTAATAGTAATTCAACATTTTCTTTATGTAATATTATTTTGCTGTATATTAAGCATTATTATTTTTACTTACAAAAAACACTTTCTCATTAAAATGCAATGGATAGACACGTATTCCGGTATTAATGGCAAACACAATGCAAAAGTAATTCACGTCAAACACAAGTCGTAACATTTGAACATAAAATAAGTTTGTATTTTATAAAAAGAGTAGAAACGGTAGAGAAGAGATGAATCATGTATTTAATGCATTATTGCATACACTATGGAGTTGTGTTTAATATGCAGAATGGGTTCGCAAATAATAATAAACTGAGTTTTTTGTTGTGTTATATAATAGACTAGTAATACACACATAGAGAGTGAGTGAGTGAGTGAGAGAGAGAGAGAGAGAGAGTGAGGAGAGACTGGGTCTGGGAGAGAGAAACTGCAAAACTCAGCTCAACGCCAGACCTAATGAACGGCAATCCAATGAATGCATTACTAAAACCCAAAGTATATTATGTTAGATAAGAGAGACACACAGTTGTATATGTGCTGTCGGTTTGGATAAATTAGTGCTTAATAAATATGAGAGACTTTTTTTCTGGGGATTCACATCCAATGGGGAGACCAGTCATGCATGAGATCATATAATACGGTAGACATTAGAGACATTACAATACCTCAAGTATTGGCGCATCTATTGGTATACGGATGAGACATATTGCCTGTGATTGCGATCACAATTCAAGCAAACTTTCATTCACTCTATTAGTACTTATATAACATTATATAACATTATCATCGAAACTACTTTTATTACATTCAGAATATATTTTCACACGTTTTCACTCAAATGTGAGACAAATTTTTGGGAGCAAATGAACGACAAAAACAAAATCATCTCTCGACCGAAAATACTTTCCCATCGAATATATTAGTATTTAAAACTCATGCATAAAAAAGACAACATATTTGCCAATTGAATTCATTTGGCATTCAATTCATTTGGAGAGCACTTTATAACTAAACTATATTCTGATTACTCAACGATGAGAAGCACTATTCCGTACGTCTATTGCATAATAAATAGCAAATTAGCAAAACTTACCCGAAAAAAGTGAAAGTAGTATTGGATTCGCAACAAAAACTTTGTGCAAAACTCGTCTCACAGCTGAACACAACATGAAATGTAATCCAAGAGTCAAGTAATAGAGACTATAATTAATAGGTTCGGCCAATAGAGCCAATAGACCCCAAGTCTATACACTATTAGCACGAATCGTACGATGCTATCAGTTCACCGATCATTAAGTTTTTTGTCTCAAATCATCATAATAATGAGAAATAGAGTCAATATTATGCTTTCGAGTCGATCTCCACTAATATCAAGGGAGAGCAAAAAAAGTTGAATTTGAACTTCACTTGTCTATACAGTTAAATGTGAACAACACTTAATGTGTTTTTAACTTATGGGCCAAAACTCGTTCTGTAGGTTTCAAGTGGTGTTGCCTTCACTTGCCTTCACATACAATGTAATGTTAAGTAAATAAAGAAATCTCGCGTTAATTATAAGAAAATATAATTAAAGCGAAAAAAACGAGTTGTTATATAAGACTAACATTTAATTGAATGATGTTTTTATGAATGCATTTCTCACACACAACTAAATCTGATAACTCTTTCCTTTGTTTAATCACTGCTGATATTGCAGTATATCTAAGGATATTCAGTTTAAGGTCACTGTTGTTTCACTCCCTGTGCTCTCTATTTCCAGATTCAAACATATGAGATTACTGGGCCTTCACTTTGAAATCCATAATTAAAGTTAAATTGAATTTTGGGAAATTAATTTTCTCGTTGTGTCTTATAAACTCATAATAAGGTTTTGGCACATTTGCAAATGCAGTTCACTATCGAGTAATGGCCACAAGTTTATCACTTTATTATCGCAATAATTGTCTGCAAACGGGATCTAATCATAAGATTTAGGAAATTCTACTAAAACTATAACACAAGACCAAAACGATAAAGAGATAACTCATAGCAAACATATAGCGATAAATAAAGTGCAATGTTTACAATAAACACCCATTTCAAGGAACTCGAGTGCCCGGGCTACCTGTGCCGTGAGATTAACATAATTATTGAAATATTAAAAAAGCACTTAAATCTCGAAACAATCACAGAATTGCAAAGAATTTCATAACGAATGCAAATATTGAGTAATAAAAACAAAAGCACTCGAAAAGCGTTTGGCCATCGATTGCATAAATGGGTTCAAATTGTTTGCAAATTCAATGAATTTTATTTGCAAAAAAGAGCTCTAGATTTCTGGCAAAACATGTATTTCTGTGCGATTTTGACATCAAATAAATTATACCATTTTTCATCCATAAAATTGGTGTTCACTTGAGCCCAGGGTTGCGATTATTGGTCTACAAATGATTTTGACTTATGCTTCAAAAATAGCACTCATTCTGTATGCAGTGAAAAGGAATAGTAGTTATTAGCGGAACAATCATTGTATACAATCTGGCACTTCCTAACACACAATCACCCGGTGCAGTGCAATGGTTAACACCCGAAAATAATTTTTTATATATACTTCGAGACAGGGTTTGCATTAAAAATATACACTGAATGTAAGAAAAGATGGTTTGGGTTCGCGAGTCAATACTATATAAGCGCAGTCACAGCAAACAAATAGACAAACAGTCGTCGGAGTGCACACACTCTCTATGCCCGAAGAGTAGTGCAATGAACTAAACGCTAAATATTTTTTTAATACACTGAACGACAAGTCATTCCCAAGTTTTTCGTTTGTATTATATAATCATCTTTTTGATGCAAAAACACCAGTCGATTGAGGCATTAGGTCTTTCCCTTCAGCTATCGGTCCCTCGATTTTTCTTATAATCTCTCGCATAAGATATATAGTCGTCGTCTTATGGCTAAACCCAGTAGTTATGGTTTGCACCGAATAATAGCTTTTTAATGGTTTGACAGTTTAGAATAGATTTTGTCTTAAAATAATGTTATATAATAATAGCGGAATAACATCTGGAAAGTAGTATTACAGTTGTGGACAAACACTGGGAATGTGTTATTAAATAACTAACCATTTTTTGGTTGCATTGCATACACAATATGTCCGATTCCGGGAAACATTGTCCTATCGCTCAACAACTGGTGCTCTTATGCTAATGTTTATCGTAACTCATGATAAGTCACACACTTTTCAGATATTTTATATCGAAATCTTTATTCAAGTCTATAATTGACACGAAACCCATAAATACTTAATCTGTTTATAGCGTATTAAATTGATTTTGAAATAAAAACAATTTATAACTCTTTTCAGTGGCTATTAATAAAATTATTTAAATATATTCTAAACGCACGGAATATTCAACTCAAACATCAAGTCTTTCTTTGTGCTCACAAAACGTAATGTATTTTTTAAATCAACTTTTTGTTGACTCTTTCGCTTTTTCTGGTAATCTCTTAACCAGACATTCAATTAACTGTTTATTAAATTTTAAATTTGCAAAGAAATCAAGTTTTGGTTTGAAGTGAGAAATGAGAGATTTTTTTGTGTTGAAAATCGAGATGTAATTTATTATTTGCAAAACGGATGGAAACATGATTTTGGGATTTATTAAGATTTTGAATGAATATACAGCACACGGGAGACGAAGTTATTCTCATTCAAAGCTAAATCTCTTGATTTTTATTTTACTTTTAGTTTTTGTTTCTAAAAATCGATTTATTTATAACTAATCAGAGTCTGTGACAAAACACATCCTTTTTCCGTGTATTTTAAATCACAAGCGATAAGAAATATTATATAAAAATAGTAAAAACACTTTGAAAGCAAAGATAAACATTGACTGTAAAGAGGATTGTATTAAATTTGAGCTTTTTATGTAAATTTTTATGTGCAAATCTATTTGTTTCAAACGCTCTATAAATGTGCATAAAAAACAAATAGAAAGCAAATACAATTTCTGAAGTAGTTATCAAAATAATAGAAAAATCTCTCTCTTTAGTGCTATAAAAATAATTATTTCGTTAAACAAATGGCAAACACCATGAAAACTATTTATTTAGTAAAAAATATACATTAAACTTATTGGAATCCGTGAATAAATCAAAATGTAATTAAGTTATACAGCACTAAGAAATGTATTAAATATTCTTTGTTTGTATAAAACTTGTTATTAAGGAATAAACTCAAAAATTACTCATTTCTGTGCTTTAATGAGATATTTGGTATGGAAGTGAGAGAGAGAGAGAGAGAGAGAGAGCTATGAAAAATTGTTAGGAATAAAATTATTATACTTGAACCCTTGCTTCATAATTCAATGCATTTTGTGTCCATTAATTTAAATGGAAAGATAAAAATTTTTCGCATCGACTGCTCATTAACTAAATAATCATTTTGATTAAAAAGAGGCAAAAATATAAAGCCATTTATGGGCCGACGCTTTTTGTTTAATATGTTAAATGTGTTTTAGAAAAAGGGAAGTGCCGTTAGAGATGCCATTTGTTGTAAAAGACATCTCTGGCCCTAAAGTTTAAATATTTCAAACAAAATAATCACTCTTCAGACACAAACCGAGCGCACAGTTATGTCTCGGGGTATGGGTTACGAGAAACAGCTTTCAATTCTCAGGGAAATTGAAATGAGAAGAAAAATAAAGATGTCTTTCAGACCAACAGTTTTGCATAAATGAAACGAAAATAAGCGGAATCTCTCTCTTCAGACCCGGGTTTGCAGTTATGCTCTAAAACACTGGCATTTGTGCCATAAATTCAATTATTTGTTATGAGATTCTCATGCCTTCATAACTCATGATATTCTTGCGAATAAATGGTTCAAAATACATATCACTTTGTATATGAGGCCACAATTATTAATAATTTGTTCCCAAAAATCTTTTTCGTTAGTTTTTCTCTCGATTGAAGCGAAAGAAAAAATATTTTTATCGAATTATGTTATCATAATATTTTTGTGTTGCATTTATGCTGTTAATTATTATTATCAATAAAAACAAATTAATAAATTATTTTATAAACAAAATCTCTTAAATCTAATTATTTATTAATTCCTAATTTGGACATTCGGTGTAAATAAGTGTTACATAAGTATTGAGTTATATATGAATTAAGTGTTTTATTATACAAATGATTATATTTAATAAATCTCTGAATTTCTTATGACACGAAACATAATGCACTGAATTGTGGATTAAATGAATGCACATAAGTATCAAATTTTAGGATAATTTACAGAATGAATATAAAAACATTTAATGATTACTTTTAAGGAAAACTGCATTATTAGCGGAAATCCATTAAAATTCATATTTTAGTTTGCAGTCAATTATTTAGGCTATGCCTTCAAAATGTATAAAAATTCACTTTTGAATTACTCTTTATTCTTCAAACATGAAGAGGTGTTTATCACAGATTCACTCAAACATTAAGGCAATGAACACTCAAATTATCAAAACATATAACTTAAACAACTTTCTCCCATTTAAATATGTACTTTAAAATAAGCTCTCTCTCTCTCTCTCTCTCTCTATCTCTCTCTATCTCTCTCTTCACTCACTATTTTAATATAAACACTATTTATTTAAAAATGTGATACAAAGTGTCAACAAAATGTATGGCATCTTTTTTGGACATTAGATGAAAAATATTTGAACTTAAATTGAAAAATGTCTGTTTGAGATGTATTTGCAGAAAAATGAATTACAGAATAAGTATTGAATCGGAAGTCCATCAAAATGTTTGCCACACGAGACGAGAACTTCAATTTAGAGAGCATTTGTATGGCATGTATTTGAAGAGTAAGCATATGTTTAAACATATTATATATTAAAAGCAAAGAGAAGACAAAACTGATGATCAATTCGGAAGAGAAATGGATGTCATTTATATTTATATTTTGTTTTGTGCCATTCATTCACTCAATGGTATCTGGCTTTCATCGAAATCATACAACAAAATCATTTGCGAAATTCAGACCAATATATTCTCTGCTCGTAATCCCATCGAAAAGAAGACAAAAACTAAAATAATAACATTTGAGCCAAAAATGCATTTATTTTTTATGATATCATTTTTGGATAAATTCCTCTTTATATATGAGGTCTCGTATTATGAGAAATATTGTGTCTAAAACTCTTTCCCCACTTTGACAGCACTTATTTGTACGTCTATTGAGACCCAATCCAAAC